CGGGGGCTTGATCCTAGGACCCTGAGATCATGACCTGATTTGAAGCCAAGAATCTGTTGCTTGACTGACTGAGCCACCCAGGTGGCCCAATGCACACATTTTTCTAAATATTGCCCTTAAGGGTGGTAAAAATTGTTTCTTTGGGGCAAATATTTCTAAAATATTACAGTGGTTTCTAGTGCTTCAAAGTTCAACTCTACTCAACAAAATAGTGTTTCTTGGTATTTAATGCCTCTCTCTTTAGGAAGAGTTTTCCTTTTCTCCTAAGGGGTGGGGTCCAATAATGAAAAAGAGATTGGGAAACTTGGGTATGGTGGATCCAGACAACTTAGGTTCACATCCTAGACCCACCAATATTCGACTGGTTGTATGAGCATTGGCAAGTTTCTTAATGTCACTGTATCTCAGTTTTCTCACCTATAAAATGGAGATATTAGCCCCTACTTCACACCATTGCTTTTGAATTTTTTAATTAATTTTTGAGCACAATTGACACACAATGTTATATTAGAAGAAACGACCCATTTTAATAGTATAGCAACAATTGCTGTAAGGGAATGTACAGACTGATTTATGATTACCTTATGAAAAACACTTATTTTGGCAATTGGACAATGATGCTTCTTGGTAGAGCTGATATCTAAATTGAGCCCCTAGTATAATTAGGAGTTAAATGAAGATGAAGGGAAATTTTCATACTAAAGGAATAGCATTGGCAAAGCCTAGAAGTTAAAATGGAACAGAACTCTATTGGGGAAATGGAGGTTGTTTAGGGAAGGGTGGGTAAGGGGAGAAGTAGAGAGTGGATAGAAGTGAGCTGGAATGGCAGTCAAGGAATTTGCATTTTATACTAGGGCAAAGAGTATTAAATAATGGTTTTAAGTGTTTTAAGTAGTGGCCACACTTGAGTAATTTTGATGTTCCTCCTAAAAGAGGCAGAATATATATATCCTTACCTGAGTGGTGTTGTGCTTTGCCATGTGGCTTGCCTTGGCCAATGGGATGGATGTTAGTGGACATGACATAAGCAAAGACTTAAAATGTACTTGTGGTTGAGTCTGTCCTCTTGAAATGTTTCCATTACCATAAGAAGAACTTGCTTTGAGGAGTCCCCTGGATTCAGAACAATAAGAAAAACACAGAGCAGACTTGAACCAAATCTACCATTTGGAACCAAGCCTAGAAAAATCTAATATATAAAAAAAAGCAAAAGCTATCTTAGCTCATATTTGGAACTGGGAGCACAAATGATTATTGTTATAAGCCACTGAGTGCTAGGGTGATTTGTTGCACTGTAGTAGTAATAGCTGACCAGTACAGAGAGGGAAGCAGAGAAAAGGACAGTCAGTTTGAAGATAATTAAAATCATCTTGCTGAAGTAGTATGGTGGTTTAACTAGGATGATGGCAGATGAAGCAGAAGTAAGAAGGTATTTTGAGAGGTACAGGGGGCAGAATTTGAAGGGCTCATTGATATTTGACTCAGGGAGAAGGAAGAGGAAAGCATGCCCAGGGTTCTTGCTGGTATAATTGGGAGAGTTCTGAAACTGTTCTGAGAGCCACAGACCACAGAAAAAGAACAAGTTAAAAAGTTCTGTTTTGAACCTAGTGAATCTACCAATGCACAGCCCAGTGGAAATGTCCTTGACATCTGTCTATTCACCTACGAAATGAGGATGACATCATGTGCCTCTACCTATCTCAGAGGACTACTGTGCAGAACAAACAAGATAAAACACACAAGTGCTTTGAAAAGAACACATAACCCATCAACTACGATAATTATTAAAATTTAAGCACTAACACTTTCATTTTCATGCTGCCAGATGCAAAAAACACACTCTAATTTTATTTTTGAAACCGTGCTACAGAGTTTGTAGCTAGTCACACATTCTTTTTTATTTTCTGAGAGCAGGCAGAGCTGATGCTTCTGAGAAATAATACAAATGATATTTGTGTCTTCAAAGACACATAAGGTATAGAATTTGGAGTAAAAAGATTGTAGGGCTACTGTTGAGACGAGTCAGGCTCTTGACTCATGAGACCTCAAACTGATCATTTAAGCTCTCTGGGCTCCCCCTTCTTCATTTCTGAAGTGAAGGTTTGTACTTGTTGATTTCTAAAATATCTTGCTGTTCTCAGATACATGAAATCATGGGTTCTCATAGTATTTTCAGCTTTACTTACCTCCTACTAACTAATGATACTCTTCAAATTTGATCTGTAATTTAGAAAAGAGTTTCACACTTGCCTGTCCTCACCCACGTTAGCTCAGTCTTTATCAGCAACTTTTCTTTTGGAACAAATTCAGGCAGTCCAGATTGCCTGTTACATCCCAGGCAGGAAGGCTTATTTTCATCTATGTGTGAGGGAGAAGGATCTAGAAGGAGTTCTGATTGGTTTACTTCTTTCACTGCAGCAGAATTCCATTTACCACTTAGTCAAGGTGGTAATGAGGGTCTCCATACCAGGCAACTGTGGCTGCCATCTGGCAGGCCAGCACCACACACTCGGCAGACAGAACCAATTAGTCAGGCCCCACACCTCCCAGGAGGTCTTGCTGTATTTGGTGGCTGGGTGTCAGCTCTGCTGAGTCTCCCACAAGAAATCTTATCAAGTTGTAGAAGGGGAGGGGCAAATCATCTCCCTCTGGCAGGACAGAGCGAGCAAAGAATCCAGATCTTGGAGGTCCAAGGACAGCTTCTTTAAAGAACATTCTGCCCATGATAATGGCGAATGCAGAATGTACCAGAAATGGGCAGCTTGATGTGGTAGAGGGAGTATCAAGAAACAAATTTCTGTTTATAAGAGAAAAACTATAAATGACTTCAATGCCCACCATTAAGGGATTAGTCTAATGAGCCATGTTATAGCCATACAAAAAAATGAATACAGTTGGTGATTAAGGATTTAGGATTTGGTCTTTGATTATGGCTCTGACACTTCTCAGCCTTTTGACCTGGGCAAGGTGCTTGACCTTGTTTTTTACTTGTGTCGTCTATGAACTGAAGACAATAAGAGTTCTTACTTCTTTGGGTGCTTGGGAATAGTAAGTTAGTCAACACATGTAAAGAACTTAGAATGGTGCCTGGCAGAATGCTATTTAATGTTCATTCTGAGTATGATTCTCATAGCCCTTCCAGATGATGCTTAGTATGAATTTTTTGAAGCCAGGGTGAAAATTTTTAATATGAAATGAATCAAGCAGGATAATGAAGGATATATACAAAATTACTCTCTATCTATGCATAGAGAAAAGAAAGAAATATTATTATTATTTTTTCTTTCATTGAGTTTTCTTTTCTTCTTATTTATATTCTCCATCTGCCAAAATTGTACATGAGTATGCAATACTTAATAATAAAAAAGATGATTTTTTAAAAAAGGAAGAAAGGACTAGAGAAGAAAACCTGGATAAACATCTTATCTCTACACTTAAGGGTGACTTCAACTTTTCTGAGCCTCAGTTTTATCATCTATACTAAAGTGATAGAAAAAACACTTTTTCTACTGCAAAAGATTAATTCCAAGGAATAAATTTTAAAATTTACCTGGAAGTAATCATAAATTACTTAAGCAGTAATAAAGTGTTTTATAACTATAATATTATTACCAAGGTCATCCTTAGGAAGTAACAACAAATACATTAATGCTAGAGTCAAAATTATGTAAAAACTCAGATGTCTTTAGAAGTTCAGAATGGATCATTTCACCTCTGCCGATGCACTATGTCCTATTCCAACCAGGCCTTAAATTCAAGAGCTACTTGTAAGACAGTCAAAAAGGGGCACCTCGGTAGCTCAGTTAGTTAATCTTCTGCCTGTAACCCAGGTCATGATCCCAGGACCCTGGGGTGGAGCCCAGAGTTGGGCTCCCTGCTCAATAGAGAGCCTGCTTCTCCCTCTTCCTCTGCCCGCCCTCTTTCCCTTGCTCATGCTCTCTCTCTCTCTCTCCTCCAAATAAATAAGCAAAATCTTAAAAAAAAAAAAAAAAGAAAAAGTCAAAAGAACACATTAACTGGGGATTTCGAAGGTTCAGGTTGCAGTGTAGGCTGTGCCACTGACGTTTTGGGCAAGTTACTTTCATTTCTGGACCCACATTCAACTAGACCTTGCAGAGTATGATCTGAGGTCCATTGGGGGGCCATTAACCACTTTAAATTATAAGCTTTGCAGAATTCTTATGAGCAAAAGACCACAAATCCATAGACTTTTATTTTCTCAGATGACTAACGACTAGCTAGTATCTGAGTGATTTAGTAAGGGCTATTAAAATTATAAACTAAAAATAGTTATGTTAGAGTTTACTGCAGACTCTAATTCAGTATTCTACTAAAATATTTGGCTGTCACTTAATGCTTGGCAGCACTGCAAAACTCCTACTCTATGTGTCCGTCTAATTGCAATTTCAGCAATTTTTGGAAATGGTACTTTGTTATCAATGAATCATTAGTTTTGTCTTGATTTGGATCCAGTTTTCAATTGCTGCTATTCTTTCTTTTTAATTACACATTACTAATCATATAGATTTATCATTATCATGTTAGTTTGTTGTGGATTGTTTGGTTGCTTTTTAACAGAGTACAGTGATGTATATTTCCGTCAAGATTTTTGGCTGATAATTTTTTGATATGTAGAATGGTTGCATTGGATTTTGAAAATAAATGATCTCTTCCTGTAAAGTTAAAGCAGACAAACCTACCCCCCCAACACACCCCGAATTTGCATGTACATTTACTCGGATTGCTGTATGAGTATCACTGAGATAGCCACTGATAGAGTAGGTTGGCCAACTCAGTTGGTGGTCAACCAGGACGCAATATACAAAATGACCTAAAAATTTAGTTTCGGATTTAAAAGAAACAAATTCCAAGTCTATCTTAAGAAAAATATAATAATTACCAATAGAACAAGAGCCTGTGGTGTGAATCTGTTTCCAACCTAATCCTGTATTTTCCTAGTCAATTACCAAGGAAAGTTTGGGTATTTGTCACTCCCTTTGCCATCCAGAAATCTGCTACTGAGTGCTCCTTTTAGGACTTTCTGGTTGTTCTCTGGTTTCTGATTGTTCTCTGGGTGCTTGCTTTCTTCCTCATCCTCTGGGTCATGATTGAGTTGTTGATCAGTAGGATTAGTAGGAGCTGGGGAGTCTGTGCTCATCTGCCTTGTACCACCATTCATGGATTTTTGGAGTACTGTTTGAGTTTCTGCCTTCAAGTTCTCATTTTCCTTGCTGTGAAGAAACAGTTTTGTTCTTTGTTACTCACAGGGCAGTCTTGCATACACTAGGCTGGCATAAGAAACAGAAGGTGTGAGTCTCATGGTGTGAACAGTGGTAACTCAGCATGGTGGAACGAAGGAGTACACATTGATTATCTGTATGAATCATTTACTATAAAGAGACTGTGTTATCTTCTCAGAGTTTAACTCTATCCTCTTCCTCATATTCATGAAGAGAATCCAAATGCTCTCAGATCCTTAAAGTAAGTAATGGCGGTGTCAAAAATGAACCTTGCAGGTTATCACATATCTTGCTGACAAATCTAATGGGTATTTTTAGGGTTGGTCACTAGAAGAAGAACTCCAATCAAGGGGGTTTGCTAGCTCCAGTCTTGCTCTGTGTCTCTCATCCTGTGGCTTCTTTTTCTTTCAGTAGTCCTCCATTTAAGTTTAATATTAAATAGAGAAAAGAAAAGGAAAAAAGAAACTGTAAGAATGATTCAAATAGATGCAAATAAACAGCACAATTTTTAAAAGATTCAACCTTGTTTAATAACTAAAGACTCACAAATCAAAACAAGTATATAAGACATCATTTTAAATTTAGGAAACGTCTTTGGAAGTAAGAAAGTCAAATGCTAATGGCCATATAAATAGACATAATTAATATAGTGGATGACCTGACAAAACATTTGAAGAGTCAGTCAGGAAGTTGTAATGGTTTAACCTACTAAATCAATATTTAAGATAGTTTATTATAGGTAAAAATATAGAAGAAGAAAAATTTCAAACTCTAAGTATTTAGTAATAGGTGAATATGTTGAGCATTTCATTCTGTGTTCATATGATAGACTTTATAAAGCCACGAAAATAGTAATAATTTTAATGACACAAAACATGTCCAGTTATACAAATAAGTGAAAAATATAATTATCTCAACTATGTAAAATGCATGTGCATAATATATATGTTTTATTTATGTGGGAAAAATGTGTAAAAAAATGACAGAAATAAACAGTAAGTTTCTCTGGGTAGTAGAACTCAGAATATTACTATACTATCTTATAACATTATTATTCTAAAGTTTTTACATAAAATATTATTTTAAAATCAGAAAAAGTCAATTTCAATATAACTATAGAAGGTATTCTATAAACTTTAGCCATTAGTACTGATGCAATGGAAAAGATCCATTTTAAAAAACATATTATCTGAGCATAAAACAGTTGCTCTGATATTTACTGATTTGAAAAAGCCAAACCACAGACAATGATTTGAATGTATGTATACTTTTTATAATAATCTTCTTGGTCGTGGCAGCATAGACAGGAAAGAAGTCTTAAAAAAAAAGAACTCTGAGGAACACCTATGTTTAAATAGAGAAGAAGAGCCCTAAAGGAGATTTAGAAGAAATTCTCAGTAAGGTAGAGGGGAACCAGGAGTATGGGGTCTTGGAAGCAAAGTACGATAGGATGTTTCCAGAGAGAGCATTGTCAACAGTATCAGAGGCTCCAAAGAAATGTGGGTTCTGAAAAATGTCCATTGAATTAAGCCTTAAGGACACCGACAAGCATCTTGACAAAGGTGCTTCTGTGAGGAAATGGAGGTGGACCCCAGATTGAAGTGGGTTGGGGAAAGAGGGAACCAAGAAACCAAATACTGGAAGTATAATCTCTGTGAAGAAGTTTAGCTGCAAGAGAGGAGAGAGAGGGGTTGGTGACTGGAGTGCAATATGGGTTTCAGATAGGGCTTTATTATTATTATCATGTTGAAGGACTGTGGGCACTTCAACACATTAAATGCCAATGGTGAAGAATCCACTGGGCCAGAGGGAAAGAGAGGACATTATTGATGAAATATGATGAACACTGACAAAGGGAGATGGGGTATCATCAAGAGAACAGAGTTAGAAATGAAATCTAAGGGTGGGGGTAGTAGGGAGATAGGGAAGGAAGTCTGAACTAAGGGCAGATGGCCTGAGATAACTGCTATGAAGAGTGGAGAAGAGCTGATCAGAACAAGTAGCCATGAAGGTTGGAGACCACAGTTTTGTGGCTTCAGTATGAGAGGGTGCATGCTTTTCTCTAGGATTGCCTGGACGTCCTTGTGGAGATGCAGAGAAGGAGAGAGTCGGACTCATTCCAGGCTGGGATTTGCCAGACAGGTGCAATCAAATAATAACAGAGCAAGGTGGGAATGTGAGAACAAATAGTGTATATTTAACAAATAATTCTTGCAATGAGAGAAGACATAGAACATATGATCTCTGACCTCAAGAAATTTAATTTCATTTGACTGTCTCAAAACAACACAAATAATAAAGTTAACAACTGGTATAAACTTTTTAAAAAAATATTTTATTTATTTATTCAACAGACAGAGATCACAAGCAGGCAGAGAGAGAGGGAGAAGCAGGCTCCCTGTTGAGCAGAGAACCGGATGCGGGGTTCAATCCCAGGACCCTGAGCTCATGACCTGGGCTGAAGGCAGAGGTTTAACCCATTGAGCCACCCAGGGGCCCCAACAACTGGTATAAACTTGCTTCTACAAGTCAGCTTGATAGCTTCTATGTAGTGGTTACCTTTTTAGGGAGATAGAGAGCCCAGAAGGGAACCCTAGGGCCTTCCATGGTATCTGTACTATTCTGGTTTTTTGTTTTTTGTTTTTTTGTTTTTTTGACTTGGTGTTTGTCACAAGGGTGTATCACTTTTGTGAAAATTCAGTGAGACTATATATACAACATGTGTGGTTTTATGTGTGTGTATATACAATAGATAGATAGATATTACATTGTTATAACATGCTTAAAGAAATTCATATAAAATTTGCATAAATATGAAACATACCTAATTAGTGAATAAATCAATGTCAAATGAATATTACAAAGAATCAGTGCTGTTTGAAGTTCATAGGAAAGAGAAATAACAGTGTAGAGGTTCCTCAAAAAATTGAAAATAGAGCTACCCCACTACCTGGGAATTGCACTACTGGTTATTTACCCCAAAGATACAGACATAGTGAAAAGAAGGGCCATATTTACCCCAATGTTCATAGCAACAATGTCCACAATAGCCAAACTGTGGAAAGAGCTGAGATGCCCTTTAACAGACGAATGGGTAAAGAAGACGTGGTCCATATATACAATGGAATATTACTTAGCCGTCAGAAAGGATGAATACCCAACATTTGCATCAACATGGATGGGGCTGGAGGAGATTATGCTGAGTAAAATAAGTCAAGCAGAGAAAGTCAATTATCATATGGTTTCACTTATTTGCGGAACATAAGGAATAACATGGAAGACATTAGGAGAAGGAAATGGAAAAATGAAGGGGGTGAAATCAGAGGGGGAGATGAACCATGAGAGACTGTGGACTCTGAGAAACAAACTGAGGGTTTCAGAGGGGAGGGGATGGGGGGATGGGTGAGCCCGATGATGGGCATTAAGGAGGGCATGTATTGCATGGAGCACTGGGTGTTATACGCAAACAATGAATCATGGAACACTATATCAAAAACTAATGATGACTAGTATGGTGACTAACATAATATAATATTGAATTCTAATAAAAAATAAATACATACATAAATATGTAAGTAAATAAATAAAAGTGAAATAACTATGATTTGCAATGGTTGCAAAAATAATATTACTGAGCATTTAAATACACGACAATCCCATTATAGCCACTCAACATACACTAGTTCGTTAATCTTCAGATCAACCCTATAGGTAAGTGCTTGTATTACTTTCATTTTAGGATGAAGAAATGAAGACTCAGAGATTTTATGTGATTTGTCCAATTTACATGCTTTTCAGAAGCGGAACCAGAATTTAAACCTAAGTTGGCCTGACTGCACTGAGATGCCTACATAGTGGCAGTAGGGTCCAGAGAGAATCCATGGATGTTTATATTATATGAGGAGCAGAAGGGAGAGGAGGAGGAAGTGCAGATTTAAAAGCAATGATGGGTTTGGGGCCGAGAGTTAACTCCTCAGGCCGAAGGCAATCAGCTTTGCTTTAATCACCTTGGAATCCTTTTGTGGACAGTCTCAGGGCAGAATTGCCCGAGAAACGTGAAATGTATCTGCCTGCCTGTTAAAACAGTCACAGTAGATGTAAAACCAAAAATAACCTGTTAAATCTGTTCAAAGTAAAAACTGGTTTAAAAAAACAAAAATCAAAAAACAAAATACAACATACATAGCACTTTAAAATGATCATGAAATGCCTCCCCAACTGAGAAATGGCATGTGCCTGTTAGCACAAACAATTTGTCAACACGCGTTGGTTGTTGTGCCATTCACACACTCCTAGCTCTTTCTTCTAGACTTGTGTACTATCTACCTGAAGTACTGGAAATAGAAGTTTGCCATTTCGGAAGAAAGAAAAAAAAAATGCCACCAACAGTCTCTTGGAAGCAAGGCAGAACTAGCTTCTTCATAGGGACTTCTGACCTCAGCTGCTGCACTTTGGGGTGCTGTGAAGAGTTTAGTGTCATCCCAGAACTACAGCAATTAAGAGAGGATTACTGTATTGCTGGATGATAAATAAATGAGGCGAAAACTGTTCAGTTGTCTCCTGTCACACTGGGCTCTTCCTGCAAACCAGCCCTACAGTGCCACCCTCTACCACAGCTCAGAGGCTCAGGGTTAGAAAGAAACATTACAAGGGCGTCTGGTAGCATCGTCTGCCCGAAGGCCCACCTCCCATGTGACTCCAACTCACCAGATCTCACATTTGATTTGGATTACACCCCTGCTGAGAACATCAAATCTCAAATGGAGGACCCAGGGGGGCTCAGCAAAAAAGTCACCAGATGCCATCTTAAAGGTCTGCCAGCCTTGGCAGTGACTCAGTGCCACCGATTTCCAACTGTGCGCCATCTAACAGGCCTCCAACCCTCTGGAGAAGACAGTCCTGAGCGTGCCAACGCAGTGAATGGGGATCTAATTTCAGTAAATGAAAGCATGTTCTTATTTGGAAGTAATAGCAGATAATCAACACA